TTCTCTCAATAGAATATCTTTACATCTACTCTTATTTCCAAAGAAGGGTAACGGTGGTTTTGTAAAATTCATTTTATATATATAATAAAAATGTTTTTTCCTGAAAAGTGACAGAAAAGTGACAAAACATTTACGAAGAAGTTTCGACAAAACATTTACGAAGAAATCATGAGTTTTCTACCCTCTTGAATTTTCATGAAATTTACACCAAAAATATATTTTATGTTAGAATGTTAGATCTAACATGTTTTCTAACATGTTTTCTAACATCGTAGAAAACTCTTGAAAATCATGAAATTTACACCAAAAAATAATGTTTATGTTAGAATGTTAGATCTAACCTTCTACCCTAAATTATATTTTTGGGTCCTTTACGCTCATTACGATGAAATCATGACAAAACATTTACGATGAAGAAGTTTCGACAAAACATTTACGAAGAAATCATGAGTTTTCTACGATGTTAGAAAACATGTTAGAAAACGTGTTAGATCTAACATTCTAACATAAACATTATTTTTGGGTCATTTACGCTCATTACGAAGAAGTCTTGACAAAACATTTACGTTCATGTTTGACAAAACATTTACGAAGAAGTCTTGACAAAACATTTACGATGAAATCATGACAAAACATTTACGATGAAGAAGTTTCGACAAAACATTTACGAAGAAATCATGAGTTTTTTACGATGTTAGAAAACATGTTAGAAAACGTGTTAGATCTAACATTCTAACATAAACATTTTTTTGGGTCATTTACGCTCATTACGAAGAAGTCTTGACAAAACATTTACGAAGAAGTCTTGACAAAACATTTACGAAGAAGTCTTGACAAAACATTTACGATGAAATCATGACAAAACATTTACGATGAAATCATGACAAAAAAGTCAACGGCTGGTCGGCTGGGGTTCGGTCCTCCTCTTGGGTCTTGGGAAAAATTCTTAGGGCTGGAAGCCCTCCGAATAAAAACTTCATTTATACTAAACATCTTCAGGGCTAGAAGGCACGAAGTGCCTGGAAGCCCCACTACCTTTTTTTTTTTTTTTTTTTTTTTTTTTCATCTCATCAGTTTCTAGCTAATTCAAAAATCTTTACTATCTTATTCGATTAAAATGAAAAGGGAATAGTTTCATTATGCTTTAAATGACAGCCTTATAATATAATCATAGTTTTCGCTCAATATGCAGCATTTTTTTCGAAATCTATGGTCAATATCCTAAATACTGATTGCTTTGCATTCATATCTCTTACATTTTCTATACCCACATCACTATTCATTGCTATTCCTATCTTTTTCATTTTTGTTTGTTTCTCATAATTTCTCAAAAAACATGATAACTTGATATTTGTAAATATCATACTTTATAACGTAAATAAGAACTTGACCTATTAAGAAAAGCAGTAATGAAAAGAAAATCTGAAATTCATAAAAATTACAAGTTTCTGATGACAATTAGCTTAATTAAACCAGGTACAAGATTATATAATTGTATTTTCTATCCAATTATCCATATAATATCTTATCCAGAAAAAATAACTTGATCAATACCAAATGATTTTTTAACTAGTAAATAAAGTATTTTCTTTACACACACATTGTATATCATAGTTTTTTTTTGGTTTCGCAAAACATCCAAAAACAAATATGCTATAAAAGTGACAATTTTAGCAAAACGAAACCCTTATTATTATTGACAAATTTTGCTCATATGAAAGTAAATCTTCTTCAAATGGTCACTTTACGTATTTCGAAGGCGACATCAACAGTACAATCCTCCACGGTTCAATTTGCAATGGAGGGAACAGTGCTGTAGACAGAGGAATGATTTACCAGCACCAAGGTTTTTCATCACTTTCAAAAACAAACTTTTCTAACTGTAATTCAAAATGGTCAGCAGCTTTTGACTATTATGCTCTTCAATCAACTACAAATGTTTCATTTTGTAATTTTGAGAATTTAGAAGCAGATCTGATTATCACACAGATTACCCATTATAATGGAACAATTTCAAGGTGTAATTATATAAATAACTCTCAAAGAGAATTTGGATGTGGGATAGTTGATAGTGCTAATAATAAAGTTGCCTCAAAATCTCGATTGAAAGACATTGAATTTAGTTTTGAGAAGACTGTTTTTCATTTTGAGAATTATTAATTAGCATATAATTATAATCATATTGTATGAAGTTATCAATTCTCTTAAATTTTGAAAGCTTAAGAAATTTAAAAGTACAAACAAATATATATTATTAAAATAATGGTATTGATCAATTTGAAAAATTTTGAAATTTTGAATACGAATTTTAATGTAAACTTTAATAGTTGTAACAGAATAGGAAACATCACAGATGGCAAATTAGATTAATGAAAAGTTGGAATTTTTTCAATAAAATTTTATTCATGAAAAAAGATGCATGAAATACAATAATAGTAATATAGATACGTTATACAACATGTTACATAAGTGATCACTATAAGCATAATAGCTTTAAACAAAATAATCATATCAAAATTTGTATCTGTAAGCAGCAAGAGTGTTATATCCTAATATTAAGTGTAACTACTTATTAGACAATGAATACAATATAATGCATTGATTAATAGGCTAAAGAAAAAAAATTATATCCTTCAATTTGGACAATCCGAAATTTTTCTTAATTAATTGAATTACATATACATTAATTTACAATTAAGTGATATCAGCGATAAACTTATATGCACGTTTAACTTTATCAGATTTCAAATGAAAACATGGATTTCATTGCATGTTTTTCAACACTAGCTCCAGAAAAATGATACAAAGATGAATAAATAGTAATGTCCCTAAAATAAGGTACAAAACAAAAAATTATCAACAATATACTTAATTTCGGCTATTATGATAAAAAGTGAATATGTCAAAAAAATTTATTCCATCATCTTGTTATCTGTACCTCACCACGGACTAATATGAAGAGAGATCAATTTCCAAAATTTTACCAAAAAGAGATTAGGCCTAATTTTTATTCAATTAAATTGTTAAACATTTAAATTCATAAAAATTACAAGTTTCTGATGACAATTAGCTTAATTAAACCAGGTACAAGATTATATAATTGTATTTTCTATCCAATTATCCATATAATATCTTATCCAGAAAAAATAACTTGATCAATACCAAATGATTTTTTAACTAGTAAATAAAGTATTTTCTTTACACACACATTGTATATCATAGTTTTTTTTTTGGTTTCGCAAAATAATTTGAAAATTTATTCAATTAAATTGTTAAACATTCATTTGGTCTAAGGGTTTCGTTTTGCTAAAATTGTCACTTTTATAGCATATTTGTTTTTGGATGTTTTGCGAAACCAAAAAAAAACTATGATATACAATGTGTGTGTAAAGAAAATACTTTATTTACTAGTTAAAAAATCATTTGGTATTGATCAAGTTATTTTTTCTGGATAAGATATTATATGGATAATTGGATAGAAAATACAATTATATAATCTTGTACCTGGTTTAATTAAGCTAATTGTCATCAGAAACTTGTAATTTTTATGAATTTCAGATTTTCTTTTCATTACTGCTTTTCTTAATAGGTCAAGTTCTTATTTACGTTATAAAGTATGATATTTACAAATATCAAGTTATCATGTTTTTTGAGAAATTATGAGAAACAAACAAAAATGAAAAAGATAGGAATAGCAATGAATAGTGATGTGGGTATAGAAAATGTAAGAGATATGAATGCAAAGCAATCAGTATTTAGGATATTGACCATAGATTTCGAAAAAAATGCTGCATATTGAGCGAAAACTATGATTATATTATAAGGCTGTCATTTAAAGCATAATGAAACTATTCCCTTTTCATTTTAATCGAATAAGATAGTAAAGATTTTTGAATTAGCTAGAAACTGATGAGATGTTTTCACAAATCAGATTTTTAATCTCTATAATGCATAATTCACTCAATATCTCAATTTTGATATTGCGAGATATTTTTGCTATCGGTTTCGCAATTTTGACACAATAGCAAGAGGGTTCTATAAGCATTATTATCAACGTAGAATCTGAATATCATATCAGAAAATGTCGCAAATCTGACATTTACCCGACCAAATAGCAAAAATAATTGAATACTTTTCGCAAAAACTTTAAAAATCGATAAAAATCTGAAATATAGATATTAAAGAGACTTTTTATATAATATTCATAAAGATTTTCCAAAAATATGATACCGCAAAATTAAAAAAGTGACGTCTTGAGTGGAGTCAAAGGTCGAAATTGCTAGCTAAATGTTTTTTAGCGAAATTGCGTATTGTATGTTTTTTCGCAAAACGAAACCTTTAGCCAATCTTTATGATTTGTTATACAGATACTAGATCTACTACTCCCAAAAACAATTCATTTTTTGAATGGCCCCCTTTTTTAGGTTTTCCTTTTATGAAAAATGCCAATATTATACGATTATTAATATATTTATTTTTTTGTTCTCAATAAAAGTATTCAAAAGTCAATATAAACCATTCAAAATTGAGAGGAAACTCATTAAGAGGCTCGGAATTCGAGTAGTGAGGAAGGGTAAATTTTGAGAGCCAAAATTTCAAATCCCCTCAATATTTCAAAGCCCTTCTACTTAGATTTTGTGACTACCTTAGAATTGATGTTTTAGATTCATTTTTCCAAAAAAATCGACTAAACGGAAAAGGTGATTTGTTTGATTCATATTATGGATTTATTAATATTTTTCGATGTATTATTGATGTATTTTCATCGTCGGGATCTGTTTATTCATCAGAAATGACAACAGCTTCATTTTGGAATGACTTAAAGTTCATTGGTATCAGTCCATGCACAGGAGAATTACCAATACTACAAAATGTAGATAAAAAAGGTTCAAATTTCGATGATTTTAAATTATTTTCATTGATGAACCTTGTGGATGAAAGAGTTAACACTTCATAAATTCTATTTAGTAAAACAAAAGAAAATAAAATAAAAATTAAAATTATTTTTTCAACATAGACATCTGTTGCTGCATATAAGTCAATACTGCAGTAGATGTCTCAGGAACAGAGTCAGGATTCATTTGTTGTCTGTTCTGTTGCGTTGAAAAAGGAAGATTTTGGTTAGAACTCTGCGGAACAAACATTTGAGGGGTTTGTTTGGTTGGCCAAATCGGAATAACGTTCTGTTTCTGGCCAGAACTTGTTTTTGAATTTGCCAACTCAACAATTCTTCTTTGGAGTGGATTTCCAATAGAATTTGATGGAACAAGGTTTGCAAGCTTCGAAGAATAAGCGTTGTTGCTTGTTGGATTCGCAGAAAGGTTTGATTGAATTAATATTCTTTCTATCGCGTATTTTCCGAACAAATTAAAGATCTTTTTAGACATTCCTGTTAATCTGATCATCTCTATCTCAGTTGTCGGCTTTTGTTCGACAATTTTCTTTAATAAGTCGATTTTCAGGACTTTATCAGGTTCTATTCTACTCATATCAGCAACTTGTGCTCTAAGTTCGTTGAGGCTCTTATACAAAGCATTGTTTTCAGGGGAAAGCGAATCTTCTGGGTATTCTTCGATAATATACTGAATATTATCTTTGTAAGCGAACATTTCGCCGGGAATATAATACTCTATCTTTCCATTTGGTATTTCCTTGAACTTTTTTGTGATTACGTCGCCTTGTTCCAATTTATGTAATAAAAGATCGAAAATTCCATTTGAAGTCTTCAATTCCCCACCACTTCCGAACTCAATCATCTGGTAATCGCATGAATCTTTTATAGATTTCGAGGAAATTCCATAAAAAATTTTTTCCAGATGTTTTTTCGTCGCGAAAGGGGAAGTTCGACCTCTTTTCCTGTAGATATTGTTCACGATATTCGCTATAGCAATTGCGAACCGATTCATGACCCTTGGAACTGGTTTTCCTCGAATCGAAGATAATCTACAGTTATCACACATTTCGTGGCATTCTTCTGGGTTGAACTGTTCACCAAAGTATTGTAGCAACAAGGATCTTCTACAATCTTTCTTGTTCAAACAGTATTCTTCCATTTTATATAACATATCAACTTTATTTCGATCCAATTCCTGAGAACCAGGAGTATTTTCACATATAATATACAGAAGTTTATCAATATCAGCGGAACTGTATAATAATATACAATCTGTCTTTTTTCCGTCTCTTCCGCTTCTTCCGGCTTCCTGGTAGTATTCTTCGATTGATTTCGGGATGGAATGATGTATAACGAATCTTACATCTGGTTTGTTGATCCCCATTCCGAAAGCTAAAGTCGCAACAACAATATTTATTTCATTTCGCATCCATCGGTCCTGCGTGTCCTTCCTGTGTTCCATGTCCATCTTCCCATGGTAGTGAAGCGTTCTAAGACCTCTTTGGTTCAAATAAATCGACATTTCTTCGGTTGTTCGTGTTGTCATGCAAAAAATGATTCCAGAAGCATTGTCGTAGCCTTTCTGGTATATCCAGTTGACGATCTGGTTGTAACAACCTTCAGTAGTCCCTTCTTTCGCATGTACTTCGAAATTTATATTTGGTCGATTAAAAGTTTGATGGAAAATCTCAACATTCTTCATGCAAAGTTGTTCGTAACAGTCTTCTATGACCTTCTGTGTTGCTGTCGCCGTCAAAGCCATGAGAGGAACTTCTGGATAGTTTTCTCTCACTTTTCCGATCTGCATGTAGTCTGGTCTGAAGTCGTGGCCCCAATGGGAGACACAATGGGCCTCATCGACAACAATACGAGTCAATTTGTTTTGACTATAAATATCATTCAAAAATTGTGAGACATTTCCGCTTAGATTCAGCTTTTCTGGGGTCATGTAAAGGAATCTGACTCTTCCTTGCTTGGCTTCATTCAATATCTTGCTCTCTTCCTCTTGTTTCGTTTCATAATTTATTAATTCAGCTTGGATGTTCAATGATTTCAACTGATCGACTTGATCCTTGATGAGAGATAACAAAGGGGATATAACCAATGTAACGCCACCTTGTACCATTCCTGTCAACATATAACATAAAGATTTTCCTCCGCCAGTCGGCATCAGAATGAAGACATCGTTACCTCTGACGGCTGCTGCAATCGCTGGAAGCTGTACACCGCGAAATGAATCATGGCCAAACACATTTTTGTTCACTTCATTCAAAACATTGATATATTCATCGGGAAGTCCATAATTGTTCGATTCGTTGTAAATTGATTGGTCGGGGAAGTCCTGATTTTGGTTTGATTGATTATTTGTTGATAATGATTGATTTGAAGTGTTTGAACTAGTTAAACTATTGTTTGTCGTTGAATTCTGTCCAAAAACACTTTTATTATCATTTATTTTATTTTCTGTATTAAATTGCTGATTTGATATCTGATTCAATCTATTTTGACTACTTAATGATTTGATATCATTATTTTGAAGATTTTGATTAAAAATATTTTTATTTTCATAATTTTGAATCTGATCATAATTTTGTTGATTATATTTACTAATATCATCATTACGACTGTAATTTCTATTTATCTGATTAAAAATATTTTTATTATCATAATTTTGATTTTGATCGTAATTTTGCTGGTTATATGTATTTAATTCATTTGAAGTATTGTAATTTTGATTCTTCTGATTAAAAATATTTTTATTATCATAATTTTGATTTTGATCATAATTTTGCTGGTTATATGTATTTAATTCATTTGAAGTATTGTAATTTTGATTCTTCTGATTAAAAATATTTTTATTATCATAATTTTGATTTTGATCATAATTTTGCTGGTTATATGTATTTAATTCATTTGAAGTATTGTAATTTTGATTCTTCTGATTAAAAATATTTTTATTATCATAATTTTGATTTTGATCATAATTTTGTTGATTATATGTATTTAAATCATTAATACTATTAGAATTCTGATTATTCTGGTTTAAGAAATTTTTAATATTATTTTTTTGATTTGAGTCATATAATTGTTGATTCATAGGTTGATTGATTTTGTTGATACCATTTTTATTATCCAAATTAAGATTATTTTGATTTTGATGAAAATCAGTATTTTCTTGCAAAACTTGGTTTTCGTGTTGATAATCCTGTCTGTCTGATTGCTTTGTATCAACAATTACAATATCATCCGAGTCTTCATTGAATTTCTGTTGAAAATTGAGAGAATTTATCAAATCCGGTTTCTTTGGAGGGTCAATTTTTATCATACTTTGACGTTGTTCTAATGTTTTGTAATGAGTAAGTAATTTGTCTTCAATATTCAATATCTGTAAGTAAGCTTTCTTTCTCTCATCTCTGTACATTGGAATATCTGCGTAATTTTGATTTTGGACACATTCTTTGATACAATTGTTGATTTGTTCAAGATATGACTGTAATTTAAACAAATTCTCCTCATGAATGTGATAAGTATCATCTAACTCGATTGATTTCTTATTTGTTTCATTTTGTGGTGGAATTATTGGTTTTATTTCTTGTTGTATTGGTTCTTGTGTATAATTACTTGATGATTTTGAGTATTCATTTGATGCTTCTTGCTGTGTGTCAACGTATTCTGAATCTGAAGAAAGATAACTAAAATTTGTTTCTTGAACTGGAGGTTGAGGTAATGTTCGAGAAATAAACGAAGATATAGTTTGATTGGGATTAGGTTTATCTGATTCATCATCTGAATCATCTATAACAATTGCTTCTGATTGTTTGTAATTCGGTTTTTGCTGTTGATTGTTGAATAAATTATCTTGTCCAGCAGATCTATTCTGACCAAAAGGTGATGTGTAACTCCGGTCCACCATCATATTGACATGAGGTGTCCCATCATTCAACATTAAAAAATTAGAAAAAAATATTGACCATCTTAGTAAAGCTAAAGCAGTGTCATACAGTTCAAATTATATTATTTCTCTTGATTTTCTTCTGAGAGATTTTTGAATTCTGGAAAAAATACCGAAAATATATTAGATCAATTTTACTATAATTCAAATAAGTGTCTTATGTATCTTTTATTTATCATAAGATTTTGGAATAAAACTGTTTTTGAAAAGTATTGATTTTAAATCAAGGTTTATTAACCTATTGTCAAGTGAAAACAAGATTAAGATGAAATTTAATGTTTAATGTGACGTAATATCAACAATTTCCTCAAGATATTTTTTTGTTTTGAATAAAAGTTGCAATTGAATAAAATGGACATAGGTTAGAATTTGTTTGGTAGTGCCTATTCCAATAACGAAGTAAATTGTTGAGCTGAAGCCTTCAATTATTGGATGAAAATTTTGTTGCCAATCGCTGATTTGTTCTTCTGAATAAGACTATCAAGATTAAAGGAAATTCTTCATTCCAACTTTTGCAAAAAATTTTTGACTATAGAAGCAATTTTTTTTACCAATAATGAGTAGTCAATATAAAATAAGTGATCTATTCGAATCTATAATGCTTACAAAGACTATTACACTTGGTAGATTCGTTCTAGGACCAATAGAGAACAATGTTTACTTACTTAAATTGACAAACAGAGTTCTTTTAGTTGATCCAACATGTCAAGGAAAGGAACTTGCCGATTACATCAAAACAACATATCCAGCTGACAAAGTAGACATTTATCTCACACATGGTCATTGGGATCATATTGGTGCAGTACCAGAATTATGTGATATTTTCCCAGATTTAACAATTTACGCTTCTTCTAAAGATGAGCCTTTATACACAAATCCAGAATACAATGGGTCAGGTCATACCAGACATAGTTTTGATATAAGCAAATATTTGGACAGAATGAAATTTGTTGATAAAATGAATTCATCTAAACTTGTCATTGATGATATAGAGTTCGAGGTCTTCGAAACACCAGGACATACACCAGGAGGAGCATGCCTTTATAACAAACAAGAAAAATTACTATTTTCTGGTGATACTCTTTTCAAAGACTCCATTGGCAGATCTGATTTCCCCTATGGCGATGGAAGACAGCTTGTTAGTGGAATTGTTAACAATTTGATGAAACTTCCTGATGATACCGTTGTTTTCCCTGGACATGGCGATTCTACAACAATTGGCGAAGAAAGAAAGTATAATCCATTCATAAGAAGATATAAGAACCTCTAAAAATCAGTTCAAACTTATTTTATTTTGAGTTTCTCCCTTTTTATCAAAATTTTATAACGCAAATTATTTTTTGTTGCCATTTTGTTCTGAAAATACTTAAAAAATTGTCATATCCAATCATTTTATGGAAGATTTTTCTTAAATTTTTCAAATAATGAAAGATAACATAATATATATTACTCCTATACATTAAAACCAATCACCGTTAATATAATTCCTCTTATCTACGAGCCAAAATACTAGAATCTATATATCTCTAAAATTCAAAGCGACAACATGTATTCATTTTAGAATATCGTTTATGTAAACCTCTATGTTGATACATTATCCATGTTCTCAAATGTTTCTATAATGAAAAATGTCAATCAAATTGAAATTTAACTAAAATATCATATGTTTATTCTAATAAAATTATTAGATGCATTAAATATAACATTACTCGGCCCAAATGTAATATAAATAACAATAAAAAAGGATATTAGCAATAATTTCAAATCAAACTGTAACTTGTTCAGAAATATCTGTCTGGTGTTGACCTTGTGATTCATCAGGAGAGTAGACTGAATATAGTTGATTGGTGCTTTGAGGAAATACAAGTAAAACATTCTGTCCGTAATTTTCTGCTTGATTTGAAGTACAAAATGCTGGTTTATCTGCATATACAGGAACCTCATCAATTTTTACTGTGTTATTTTCAATCACGTAATTTTCATTCCCATGATCATTATTACACAATGCGTGGTATAGCATAACACCTGCTATAATGCATAGAGATAATATGCACAGTTGAAATAGGATTCCCCATGTTGTTCCAAAGATAAGGTGGAAGACTGACATTTGAAATGATTTTACACCTTTTCAAAATATAAAATCTTTCTGTCCATATATTTTAGTGGGAATTTTTAAACAAAAGAATATTTCAAAACATAAAATTTGCTTGGCAATTTTTTGAATGGAAAATAATCGGAAGATTTTATCCATTCAATAGTTGTTTATTTTGAAGTAAAAATAATTGTTATTTCTGAGGCAATGAGTTTTTGGACTCATTCCCTGTACCAGATTTTACTTTTATAAACGATCAACTCATGCAGAAGAAGATCCAAAAAACATATGGCGACTTTATTATAACGGAATTGATCCTCCAAGCGTTATATATTCAGGTGAGATCAAACAAGTCACTGCATCCGACAAGAAATGTTTCGCATACATATGTACATTCACTAACCTCCAAAGAAGAGCAATTGAATTCAATAGCATTACAGATTATTCGATTTTACTTTGCGAAAACTCTTTTTACAAAGATCCTGGAAACGTATACATTAATAGCGATAATAAAAATGATATTATTATTGACAAATTTTGTTCATATGAAAGTAAATCTTCAACAGATGGTCACTTTACATATTTCGAAGGCAACATCAACAGTACAATCCTCCAAGGTTCAATTTGTAATGGAGGGAACAGTGCTGTAGACCGAGGAATGATAGATCAAGGCAATGGTAATTCGTATCTTTCAAAAACAAACTTTTCTAACTGTATTTCAAGGTATTCAACAGCTGTTTATTATTGGTATACTATAGCGATAATAAATATTTCATTTTGTAATTTTCAAAATTTAGAAACAACTACAAATATCAATCAGTTCGGCTACTGCAATGTAAATGTTGAAAGATGTAATTATGTAAACAATTTTCAATCTGAATCTAATATTGGATTAATTTGGCTTGAAGGCTATAATCTTCATATTTTTAATTCAGTTTTCAAAAATAACAGATTTCAATATTTGTTCAGATCCAATAATAAAATTTATTTACATCATTGTAATATTGATGATTTAACCACTTCTGGAGCTGTTTATACATCAGAAATGGCAACTGCATTATTTATGAATGACTTACAGTTTATTAGAATAGATCCTTGTGAAGGTTCTATACTAATTGTACAAAATATTGATAAAAAAGATTCTATCCTGAAAGATCTTGAATTAATTTCATTAATTAATATATTTTTATAATACAAATAATAAAAATATAATATAATTTACATAAACATATGATTTTTAATAGTAGTATATGTTGAAGGGTTTTGTGACTTTTTTTGTAAACGTAAGAATTCATACATTTTTGAGCGATTTTGTATCATTTTTTTTTACATATGAAGTAAAAAATGTATGATTTTTACGGTTTTTATTCTTACGTTTTTGAATAAATCAAGATTTAAAAATTTTCAGAATCGTAAGAAATTTTCACTAAACCCATACATAATGAAATAAAAAAAAATTAAAAAAATAAAAAAATAAACTTTAAAAATTCATGTCTTACATTTTTTGAATAATTTATTTTTTTAATTCGTAAGAAAATGAGTGGATCAAGATTCGTAACCGTCAATCAATTAACGGATGCTCTTTCACCAATTCTTGAAAATGTTAAACAAGTAGATGTTTATTTCGATGATTATGTAGAAAGTTTATATTATAAAGGTAAGTTTAATATTAAACCTATCGCTTTTGCATTTGATAATAAATTAATTGAAAATGCAAAAATTTGGGAATTAATTCCGAATATTGAATTTATAACAAATATTAATGATAAATGGTTTAAACGAATTCCAACCACAAAAGTTCTTTGTAAATTAATGATCAAAACTGAGGAAAAAGAATTTAACGGGTTTAAATATCATCCAAATAAAGTTTCAGAACTAGAAAATGAAAAACTTCAGAAAAAATTAAACGATAGACTTTCAAATGATCGTATTGAAAAAATAAATAAACTAGCAGAAGTTGCATTTAATAATGAAATATTTGATGAATATAACCTTGAACTCAGTGATGGACTTTAAGGACCTGGGCTCAACGAGTCATGATTTATGAAATCAATTATTTGATTCATTCGCTCTTCAATAATTTCTATTCTTTTTGTTAAATCATCTATTTTCATTAATGAGGTGATTCTTGATTGAGGAATAGATTTCAAACTAACCACTCCTTTTATTTTTGAAATTTTGAATCCATGACCCTCCGGGTCTTGGACTCTGTCCTCAACTTTAAACATTTTATTCAATTTACATGTTGTCAATTCTTCAAATAATTTTTTATTGTTAGCATAATAGTTATTAAATTCTTCAACAGATGAAAAAATTTTTATTTCAGTAATTGGTTTAACAACGTTTATTTTTTGTTGAACATTTTCACTTTCATTTATTTCTTCCTCCTCTGTTTCATTTATTTTTAAAATCGGTTTCATTTATCATTAAATAAAAATTAGAATATAAGTGATGAAATATATTTTTTAATTAATATTAAATCAGAAATGGCGGCAGGATTCTTTAAAAAATTATGGGATGGAATTAAGAAAGCTGCAGGTTGGGTTTATAAAAAGGTTATTAAACCTGTTGCAAACTTTTTGGCACCAGTAGCGAAAACGGCAGGAACTATCATAGGTGGAGTATTAGGTACTAAAGCAGGTAATCCGGCGATGGGAGCACAAGCAGGTAACGCAATTGGTGGAATTGCTGAAGGAATACTTAATAAAATAGGGGGTAATAGTGGAAAAATAAATAAATATTATTTTTATCTTAGTATCGGTTGTAGTCTTTGATAAACTTTTTCTCCTTTAATTAAAATTTCTCTTATTGGGGCAGCTTTTGGTGTTATTGATTCAGCAACGTCACTAATTGCTTCTTTATTCTTAAATATCCAATTTGCTCCTTTCTTCATTGTTTCCCAAACTTTATGCGCTCCTCTTTTTACTTTATCCCACAGTTTCTTAAAGATCCTGCAGCCATAGTTGATTATTTCATTAAAATTAAAAATTCATTTTCATCTTTTAATTTTGATTTTTTATTTAATAATAAATGACGACTAACTATTTGTGCCAAACACTAAACCGATTAATGGAAATGTATTTCATTCATTCGAAAAGATAAATGAAATATTCGCAAAGAATGACGGTAGAAGATATTATAGAGAACTTGAAAGTTCATGCTATGACTCTGATGCTCCATATTTTGATGATAAACAAACTCATTTAAGAATTACAAATCCGGCTCATGATGTGAACCAATTAGGTGACACATATATTAAACGCAAAGTTAAAGCAACTCTAGTTTCAAATAAAGCTTTCACATGTGATGCCGCTTTTAAATGCATGCGTTTATTCGTTGGTTACAAATCATCAAATCAAAGCTTTAAACAATTAGAAGTAGAAACCGAAAGAGGTGATGCTGGTTATCTTCAGATGGATTGCGCCCGTGAATCTTTCGCATTTGCAACATATAAACCAAAATCAGAAAGGAAAGTTAAAAAGTTTGTTCATTCGTTATATAATAATGTTCAAAAATATGATAACTCAGTATGTGGTAAATATATTGACCCTTCAGAAGTTTTCAAGAAAGCAAATGAAGAAGTTGATATCACTTTTGATTTGATTATTCCGGTAAATGATTTGTTAGCATTTCAGGCGTTCGATGATTATCCTAAATCATTTGGTGAAATCATTCTTAAATATTATGTTTTCAGGGATACTTTAGTATTTTGTCAGGTTGACCCGTTAAGAGTTGCTGATTTACAAAATTACGTTTATGAAAAGATAACTGATGAAAATTATGAAAAGATTATGAATCATGTTTATAAATATGATCGCAAATTCCAACAAATCGGACTTCCTGCCAAATTAATTACAAGCTTAGCCGCTACATCTGCTGACGCAACAGTTGATGACGTTATTATTTCATGCACAAAGATGGAAGTTTTAGAGGATAAATGCATTACACCAGGATACGGTTTAATTGAAGAATCAGTTAAAGCAATACCACGTTTATTCAGTAAGGAAGATCCATTCATGATTCCAGCTCAACATATTGACGTTCGTTCACTAAATGGAGGTTGCATCACTCCTGAAGGTATCAGTTCAGATTTCTCATACGCTCTTCATAATGTTACAGATGTTGTGTTAGCATTTCCGAAGAATGCAATGCAAAGAACAGTTTTAGAAAATCCAATGCTTCGAGGTCTTCAGGTCACTATAGATTCCAGAAACTTCCCCGATCAAGCGATGACCACAGTGGGCGACATATTCTTTACACGTATGCTTCAAGCTTCTGATTTAGATGGAGTGAATGAATGCACGGAAGAATACGAGGACTCATTAACTAGACCACTGAATGCAGATGATGGCACGCCATTAGCTAGAACATGGAAAGACCAAACTTCATTCTTATGCACTATTCCAGTTCAACGTGATGGAGCGGGTATATTCTTTGATGGATTAGAAACTTTCAACTCACAAGTTACAGTACAAGTGAAAGCTTATCCAATCATTCAGGGTGTAAATGACACTTACTGTTCAAAGGTGACAAATCCTCCTCAGGTTTGGTTTACTAGGACTACATATTGGACATGGACACCGGATGAAGGTTTGAAATATCATCCAACAGGTACACCACCACAGTATAGAAGTTCATATGATGAAATATTGATGAATAGAAATGTATAAAATTATAAATTTATTTTTGATTAAATGGATTTAAATTCTGAAGAATTAGCAGGAGTATATAATACATACGTAGATGATATGATTAATGAAGCATTGAGTGATAATAGAAATGCTCTATCTAAGGAAAAATTAATGAAAATTCCATATTCTGAATGTTACTTAAATTCAATCACTGCAGCAATTGGTAAACAAAATAAAGGTAAAACATTAACGATATTAAAACAAATTATCATTATTGCTAACACTTCCCCCCATTCACATGTGTTAATTTATATCAACCGTTCAGGTTCACCTTCAGATGATACATTTGAATCTTTAAAGCATTTAATCAAAATTCCAATTATT